AAAAAAAAAAAAAAAAAAAAAAAAAAAAAGATTAGGTATCACTAACTTTTTACCTGGGCTGGCCTCAATCTATGGTTCTCCTGATCTCTACCTGTGATTACAGGCATGAGTGACCACACCCAGCTGACTATTTTCTTCAAAAAAACCAAAACATCGAATAAAAAAAACTTGGAATCAGAAGAGCATTCTAAAAAAATTTTATTCCTAGACAGGTATGGTATACATGCCTGTAATCCCAGCACTTGGGAGGCTGAGACAGGAGGATCAAGAGTTCGAGGCAGCCTGAGCTACATGATGATACCCTGGTCTTTAAAACAAAACAAAACAAAATTATTCCTATCCTTCAAAGCTCATTTCTGGCATCTTCCCTAACTACTTAGTAATTTTCCTCTCTGCTCACTTGCTACACCTCAGAGTTTCTAACATCCAATTTAGCATTTGCTTAATATGCCACCACAGTCTGTCTAATCATAACACTTACTACCCCACAGGTGGTGGTCTGGGAACTCCCAGAGGACTGAAGCAAAGCTTGGGTTTCCTCTTCCAGTTTCTCCCAAAACTCTGCCCAGCTTAGCTCCATCCCAGGGACCCAAAACATAAGACTGTAATTGAGCTAGGAGCCTGCCCTCAGTAAGGTCAGATGAAGGAAGGCAAGGACACCCCATGTGGACTGGGGCTGGGGAGGCCTTACCGCCATGACACACTTTGGGCACCGCCAGACACCTTTCGGTATCTCAGGCAAAGGAGGCAGCAGGCAGAAGATGTGGTAGTTGTCATCACAGCCATCACACAGCAGGAGTTTGTCATCCTCATCCCCTCGGGAACACATTCGGCACACATATGACTCGATCTGCCAAGTAAGGGAAGCGAAAGTTAGTCAACATAGGCCCTGTCCAACCTTCAAACACCAGGCCCCTCCAAACAGTACCCTAACCCACAGTGTTCTCCATTGCAAACCTGTTGTGCTTGCCAGCTGGATCACTCATAGCCCTGTACAGACTAGCTACACAAGGTTTGGAATTCAATTATATCATGTACCATTTCCTCAAATAAGCAAGTAGAACAGTCTTTATCATTTAGTCTTGAATCTTCTCATTTTTATTCATTCAATAAACACTTACTGAACTGGTGTTGCTGAACCTGCCATAGAGTGCTAGATTCTATGGCACAGATATGAGTGCCTTTCAAGGGCACAAAGTACTCTAGAGACACGTTTCTAAAAACTAAAACCAGTGTACAGTGGCCCATGAATAGTACTGTGGGAGCACTCATATCAGCTGGAGATGAGGAGTGATAGCTTTGAGGAAAGACTTCATTGAAGAAGTGACCCTTGAAACTGGCTGAAATCTGAAGGCAAACTGAAGCTTGGCAATGGAGCAGAGCACAGGGGAAACTCTTCCAGACAAAACAAACAACATGTGCAAAGGATGCAGGAATGAAACAGTCAAGATGCATCTCAGTGACCAAAAAAAATAAAAAAAAAACAAAAAACAACCTACGTACAAGTAGTTCAGTGTGGCCGTAGCAGAGAAGTAAGGTGGGAAGTGCTGGGGAATGAGGCAAGAGGCTAGCAGGAACTAGATCATGCATGATAATGAACTTAGCCTTTATCCTGAAGCAATGAACAGTGCCTCCTCCTCTGGACCCTTGCAGCACTTTATATTGTCAGCACTTGTTCACCCTTTCTTATTCTTTGTTCCAAATGAGTTGGCCTTGTTTCCCCAATTAAATGAACTACTAGAGGGAAGGGCCTACTAGGGCCACTTTTCTGCTTAATACGACCTAGTCTTGTGCCATGCTGAGGAAATGATTGTTGAAGAGGTAAGAAGCAGAGCATTAGGAAGTCAGGGCTGATCCTTACAAACTGAGCATTGCTGTGGTTCCTCCGCAGCCTCATGGTCATCTTGGTGCAGGGCTCTGGGCTGTGACTCAGTTCCTCCTTGCTTTCCAGGAAGGTCTTGGGTGAAGCTGACTCCACCTTGACATCCCCACCTGATTCCTCCTTCACCACTACAGTGGGGGGACACTCAGGCCCTTCCTTATCTGGAAGAGAGAAAAATGGCTCTAAACATAGGTCTGGGACACTTAGGGTCCTGCCTCCTCTCCTCAGGTGAGGCCATTCCCACTATCTCAAGCCTCACCTTTTTTCCGCAGAGTCTTATCTTTGGCCATGAGGCCCAGGCCCATCATCTTGGGGCCTGCCCCATAGATCTGTAACTTCTTCAGCTCTGGATTCTTTTCAATGTCTTCCTCTGTGGGTTCCGGCTAGAAAGAAAAAAGGAAATCAATCACAACTGCTATGTGGGTCAGATGGCCCCATCCTAAAAGAATAGCTTAGACTGTATACCACCCAAGTTCATGCCAAGGGCTCAGGCACTGATGGGCCAGAGAAAGAATTCAGAGTTGCTTTTCTCAGCCCTTTCTTTAAAAGGAATTTAAGACAGGATCTCAGTTTTCCCAACTCTAAATTAAGAATATTAACTCATACTTTATAACGATGAGGAGGCTTAGGGATAACATATTGTAAAAAATCTTAATACTGAAGCTGAGCACCAGTGGCTCATGCCTATAATCCTAGCTACTTGGGGGGAGTAAGGTCAGGAGGATCGTGGTTCGAGGCCAGCCCAAGGAAATACCTTGCAAAATCCCATCTTCAAAATAACCAGAGAAAAATGGGCTGAATGTGTGGCTCAAGTTGTAGGGTACGTACTTTTTAAGCATGAAGTCCTAAGTGCAAACCCAAGCCTCCCCCCTCCAAATCTAATATTGTTTGGCATTACCAATAAGTGACAGTGACTAATATGATCTGCTAAATTACATCTTCAATGAACCCAGGGACAGTGTCTATCTTGTTCTCTGCTGTATCCCTGGTGCCAAGAAGTGGCTAGCACTTAAGTTTCCGTCTGGCAGGAGAATATAAGGAGAAAGAAGACTTCCACCTCTATAATCAGACTGAATGAGGAAAAGAAAAAGGCAGGCAAGAAGGGTAGACACACAAAAAGTATTATAAAAACAGTTCAAGCAGTTCAGCTGAGAATGGAGAAACAAGCAAGAATGAAGCTACAGAGAGGCACTAATGCTTAAGAACTCAGAGAATGAGAGAAGAGTCAGCGCAACAGGGAACACAGTCTTAGTCAGTAGGAAGAAAAGGACTCTCTCTATCCCAAAGCAGCTTTAAGTTAGAAGAAGGGAAGTACTCACATCAGGCTGAAGTCTCTTGGCCCGCCGACCATAGGTATTGAACTTGGAAGGCTGCACAGACTGTCGAAGGGGGATGCTGTGGGGTTTGTATTCCTTGTCCTTCTCCTCATTATCAAATGGACGTGTGTTACACTGCTGGGGACAGGTGAAGGGTAAGGGTGAGGGCATGGGCTGAAGTCCCAGAAAGCACCCTTACCCAATGGCCAAAAAAGTTGTACTCCACCTCCCTGACCTACACCAATAGTACCTATTCAACTGGCCTTTATCAGTGACACTGAAACACTGGGAATTCTTCTTAGTGCCTTTGCTTATGTCATTCCTCCTTCCAAAGAGCCCCTTACTTAACAATCTCCCAAAGTAAATCCAACTCCATCTCTTCCTAGACCTCTCTAGTCCAAAAGATCTCTCCCTTCTCTGAATTCCTGTCAGTTAAAACCTTGTTGAATAATAGTAGGCTGGTCCCACAGGTAACTCCAAGACCCTGGCAGTGTGAGAAGAAAATCAGCACCAGTAGGGAAGGATAAGGTCTTACTCCCAGTTAAGACCATGAACCAGTTCTAGTCAAAGCAGGTGTGGCCAGGAGCTATGTCTCACACCTATAATTCCAGCTACTTGAGAGGCTGAGATTGGGAGGACAGAGGTCAAGGCCAGCTCAGACAAACAAAAAAAGTTAGTGAGACCCTCATCTCAACAAATATGCCTGTAATCCCAGAAAAATGGGAAGCATAAGCTGGTCCAAGGCCAGTACCAGCAAAAAGTGAGACCCTATCTGAAAAATAACTTCAGGAGAAGGGCTAGAAGCATGGCTCAGGTGGTAGAGCCCTTACAAGCACTCCCATACTGCTCCTCCCAAAAAAAAAAAAGAACAAGTGTGGCTGCAATCTGTCTGGGGGTAAAACCTTACTCCACTTCAGCCTGGCATCCTTACCACAAGGTTGGCTCCTGACTGGTACATCTCATAGGGATAAACGATGCGTTCATAGTGAGAGCGTAGCAGCGAACCAATGTTTTTGCCTGGTGGGTAGTTGAGGCGCTGGGCCACCCGGGCCCATCGACGGTCCTTGCAAATGGCTTCATAACCACCTTCTTCCACCACAATCTGAAAGAAAAAGAAGGGCTACGAATGTGCTGTGTATAAACATGAGGGAGCAGACCTGTAGAATGAGCAATGAGGACAACTGCAGCCCCTCACTTCACTGGGGGTTACTCCTTTTCCCAGCCTCAAATTGTTGCAAGAAATGTCAAGACATTCTGATGATAATTTGTGTGCTATCAGGCTGTGCCCCTTCCATTGAGGCCTAGAGACCCACTATCCAAACCAAAGGAACCCCCAGAGTAGCAAGGCTACTAGGATAGAGGTGGGAGTTATTTGAGGAAAAACCTGTTCTTACTTTGCTGAGGCTGTAGAGGTCCAAGATCCGCCGTTCTACATTGGGAATCTTTAAGGATGAGCCCTGGATTTCCCAGAATTTGGCAATCTGGTCCAAGTAGTTCAGTTTCACTCTCGTCTGGGCCTGAAGAAGAAATGGCTCAGAGGCTGGCCACCCCTACCCCTCATCCATCTTCTGGGCCAATCTTAAGGGAGGAGAAAGGGAACAAAGCAGCCCCTATACGCTACCCAGGGCTTCTCCCAGTGAACTGGATCCCAAGCTTTAAGACAGTGTTTAGGTCTACCTCTCTCCCATCTCCTAAGAGAGTCACAACAGCCAAAGCTTTACATACATTCTCTCCCTATCTCTTTGACGGGGCTGTGTGAGTATTATCATCTCTTGTATAGATAGGAAACAGAGGCTCAGTGGGGTTAAGTCACACAGCAATCACCAAGATACCTGGGTGTCAAGAAACTTTAGTTTTCCCTCTAGTACTAATTTGCTGTATAGCCTGGAACAAATCAGTTCCACTCTCTAGACCCCTGTGTTTCTATTAGAAAAGGAAAATAAAATAACTGCCCAGTCCGCTTACCTCAGAGGAGTAGACTTAATGAGAAGACCAGTGAAGGCCCTCTGAAAACTTCCAAATTATATCTAAGCACTAGGCAAATTTTCAGAAAATGAGGACTCAAAAAGAGCACATTCACCTCTTTATGCACCACAAAACTTATTTCAAGGTGGCTAAAGGGTGAGAATGCATGCTATAGGCAGAATGGCCTAAAGACTGAAGTAGCATACTGAAAAAGCACTGGCACCTGGCCAACTCAGGACCTGATATGGATCAAAGATCCTAGGAACAAGGCTTGCCATGCTTGCCTCAAATCTCAGTGGCCCAAGAAGGGCTCCCAAAAGTCCTAAGTTTATAACTTCCTTGCTCCGGTCAGAAGGCCTGGTTCTGGGGAGAACTGGAGAGTTATTACTATTCATTATCTTGCCCTGATCCCATTAGGGGAACAAAGACAGTGTTTTCTGTTTCAGAGTTCAGAAGAACTAAGATTTATTTGTGGTAAGAAATGACCACATGAGGGCTAAGGGCATTGTTCAAGTGGTAGAGCATATGCCTAGCAAACACAAGGCCCTAAGTTCAAACCCCAATACTAACAAAGGAAAAAGAAAATTATAGGACTTTACAAGAAATGATCTATAACTCCTTAGCTGTGAGAACCCTTGGAGTCTAAGTGTTCTTAGACTCCCTCCACCTAAACCCCTTAGCTTTCTGACCTTTGCCTCATGACCCTGCTCCTCCCCCTCATTAGCCAGCATTCTCTCTCTAGAAGAACTGCCTTTTTCCCATGCTAGGCAACTCCTGGCCATAGCTGTGGCCCCAAAACGTGGTTAGCTCTATTTCACTAAGGAACTCACACCACCTACAATAGGTGACTTTGGTCCTGATTGGAACAATACATAGATTGAGTCTACAATAGCAGTTTTCAATGAGGGGTAATTTTGTCCCCCAGGGGACATTTAGCAATATCTAAAGTTACTTTGGGCTGTCATGACTAGAAGAGGGTACTACTGGCATCTAATAGAAGCCAGGGACGATCATAAACATCTTACAGGATATACACACACTCAATGACAAAAATTATCTGGCTCAAAATGTCAATAATGCTAAGATTAAGGAAGTCTGGTCTCAAAGACAAGTAAGCATTTGGGTTATGGGTATCTAGCTGAGTCCGATCCCTTCTAGAACATCTAGTAAAGCTTATGAATACATGAAAATGGAGGGGCAATGGGTGCATGTGTCTAACTCTATCTTCCATGGAAAACTTCAAGACTTTATGTAGAACTGGCTTCAGGGCACCCACTCTCAATTACCCCAGGACATTCCGAAGTCTCTTGTGAAGAATCCTGCCGTCCACACAAATGGCTCTGGACTTCCTATACAGAGAGGGAAAAAGCTACCTGCCTAACCCATACCCAAGTCTCTAGCCATTCCAGCCTCTACACAGACCAGTTCCAAGGTTGTTCTTGCCCTTCCACCTTGCCCCCAACTTACCAAGCACCATGGAAGGAAGGTAGGAAACATAAGGCTATGGATGAATTAGAAACATGAGGCAACGCTCAGCTAGCAAAGGAAGGGTCTCACAGTCAGCCCCATATTTCCTTTTTGTTGACAGGGTAGCTTCAGAAGTAGCAAACTTTTGGGGAAAAGAGACATCTCTAGCCTCTGGGCTACCAAACCAGAAATGCTAAATGCCCCTGTGCTTAGTTATATTTAGAGCCCTAAAGCTTTCTCCATGCCCTGGGCACACAAAAGATCAAGTCCCTTAGCCAAAGAAGGTATGAAGGAAGTGGGATCAGAGCTCAAGTATCCATTCTCCAAACCCCACCACCAGGTGCTAGTCTTCTCACCTCTAGCTCATTCAGCCTCTGGATTCGGGGAGTGAACCTGAAGTTGTCTACTTCCACAGCAAAAGGTGGCTGCCAGTCCTAAGAGAACAGAAAGGGGAAAGGAAACTTGGGTTATGCCAGTATAGTGCAAGATCAGAGGGCATCAAAAGTACCTCAGCACCCTATTAACACCTTCCCAGGCCTCCATTAATTTATCTGGTAAACACTCAATTCACCCACACTCATATTCCCTCATAAGTCACAACAGAGCCTAAAAGCCCCATAAATCTATATCCAAGGCCTCATGTACATGCTCGAGCAAACTTCTCCTACTTAAGTAGCTCCCAACAGTATAGTGCCAGGATTTTGATAAAGAGATGGAGCCCAAAACTGTTGACCCCAAGCCCTCCACATAACCATATTAACACCCTGTCCTCTAGACAGGACACAGAGTCTGGGGTACTACAAAGTACACAGAATCTGGAGTCAGAAGACATGGGTTCATGTTGTAGCTATGAGAGCTTACCTTTCTGAACCTGTTTTCTCATCTGCAAGGGAGGCATATGAACTCCTGCCTTGGCTTCCTCACAAGACCAATAGGGAAAAATAAACTAGTTTTCAAATGAAAATGTTATTCAAAGGAGTCATCATTAAGACTTGACATTTAAGGATAACCTACACAATACACATGCAGAGTAGCTCAGTTCTGATTCTGACAGATTTAAAGGTTTGGACCTTCGATGTCTGTTCTTTCAGTTAAATGGCCTAAGAGAGCTAGCAGTGTGGCTCAAGTGGTCTAGCAATCACAAGGCCCTGAATTCAAACCCCAGTACTGAAAAAAAAAAAAAAAAGGGGC